TCTGTTTCTGGTACACCTCCATCCTGTTCTGAGGTGACAGGTTTTGTAACACAGATTGTAGCCCAAATCACCTCAGTACAGGATGGACGGGTACGAGAAACGGACCTAGCTCATCAGTTTCGTGTCTGGAAGTTTAAGTCTTGAGACACAATACATCTGTCGTCGTTTCTCTACAAGAACCATTGCCGCCCTCGTGACGTCATCACTTTCTGGAACAATCTCAGAGTTGCCCCAGTATTATTCGAATAGGTCCGCGTAAACTTCTCTTGTGAACAATGTCGCGATTGTCGAGAGATAGGCTCCTACGAACAGCGCCGCGGCTCCAGTGCTCGTTCCGCTGTCTCCAACATTAACACTACATTCGGAGAAGAACCTCGTCAGCCATGCGACCGTTAGTCGTCTTACTCGTTCGCTTTCCATCTGCAGATACGATGTTCGACAACGATCATCGCTCCGAACGACCAGTTGCTATCGATGACGACTGACTTCTCAGCGAAGTGAAGAAGAAGCGAAAAGGCTACGAGCGAAGAACTTGCGGAGCTTTTCGAGCAACGTCGTTGTTCAGCACCTTCACGAGCACGACTACAGAAAAGTTCTTGCTCGATGGATCCGCACCAACTGACCGACGATCTGCGTCACACGCGTATCTCAATCGCCAGTCGCTCCTCTTACCCCGAATCGAAAGGAGTTTCTGCAGGATCTAGGTGACGGGGATTGAGAGCTGGAACCTTCTGTGACAAGGACAAGAGGGTCGCTGCTTGCCTAACAATAGCAGAAGATCCGCCTGTGCAGCCGAAGCCATAGCAGCATCCGAGGGAAGTTAATGTGCGGCTTCTTGGACTCGAAGCGAATTCCATACTACGAGTTGCTACCTCAAGACCAGGCAGTCACGGCTACCATCTACAGCAGTCCACTCCGGGAACTCGCATCAAAAAAAGCGACCAAGAAGGGTTGCTGTCCATCTCCCTCGTGATAACGCTCGGCCTCACAACGCAGAGACCACGCCGTCTACGTTACACGGAATTGGATGAGGTACCCTTCTCAACCCAGCCTATTCCCCTGACCTCGCCTCTCCTGGCCATCACCTTTTTAGGCACTTCAAACAGTACCTCGCCAAGCCCAAGCTAGTCACTTCTGGTGCTCAAAAACGCTGTGGCTGAATTCTATAACTCACTGTCCTCCTCCTTTTGAGAGAAGGGAACAGTCGACTTGCCTGCTCGTTGGTAGATAATTTTGGTTATTATTAGTTTGATAAGTAGAGTTGGAATGAAATTGTGAAAGTTAACACGTTGACGACAAGCTGACGCGCATGCGCGTCAAGAATTTCGCACCGCATCGGACATTCTGACGCGCATGCGCGTCAGAACTATGTATTCATTTTTATCGTGCTTGCGCTCCTTCTTCTCGAGTTTTTTGTATTCATTCTATAGATAATACATTAGCATAACTATAAACCACATGGCAGCCAGAGTGGTCAAGTATCTATTTAGCAAAAGATTTTCGTTTCGAATAGCGTATAATAACTTCGAAG